ATAGATTCCCTTTAAAACCATCCGGTTGTGATAGATTCCCTTTAAAACCATCCGGTAGTGATAGATTCCCTTTAAAACCATCCGGTAGTGATAGATTCCCTTTAAACCCATCTAGTAGTGATAGATTCCCTTTAAAACCATCCGGTAGTGATAGATTCATCCGGTAGATTCCCTTTAAAACCATCTAGTAGTGATAGATTCCCTTTAAAACCATCTAGTAGTGATAGATTCCCTTTAAAACCATCCGGTAGTGATAGATTCCCTTTAAAACCATCCGGTAGTGCTAGATTCCCTTTAAAACCATCTAGTAGTGATAGATTCCCTTTAAAACCATCTAGTAGTGATAGATTCCCTTTAAACCCATCTAGTAGTGATAGATTCCCTTTAAAACCATCCGGTAGTGATAGATTCCCTTTAAAACCATCCGGTAGTGATAGATTCCCTTTAAAACCATCTAGTAGTGATAGATTCCCTTTAAAACGAATCTAGTAGTGCTAGATTCCCTTTAAAACCATCGGTAGATAGATTCCCTTTAAAACCATCTAGTAGTGATAGATTCCCTTTAAAACCATCCGGTAGTGATAGATTCCCTTTAAAACCATCTAGTAGTGATAGATTCCCTTTAAAACCATCTAGTAGTGATAGATTCCCTTTAAACCATCTAGTAGCGATAGATTCCCTTTAAAACCATCCGGTAGTGATAGATTCCCTTTAAAACCATCTAGTAGTGATAGATTCCCTTTAAAACCATCTAGTAGTGATAGATTCCCTTGAAACCATCTAGTAGTGATAGATTCCCTTTAAAACCTTTAAAACCATCTAGTAGTGATAGATTTCCCCTTTAAAATCCATCCGGTAGTGATAGATTCCCTTTAAAACCATCTAGTAGTGATAGATTCCCTTTAAAACCATCCGGTAGTGATAGATTCCCTTTAAAACCATCCGGTAGTGATAGATTCCCTTTAAAACCATCTAGTAGTGATAGATTCCCTTTAAAACCATCCGGTAGTGATAGATTCCCTTTAAAACCATCTAGTAGTGATAGATTCCCTTTAAAACCATCCGGTAGTGATAGATTCCCTTTAAAACCATCTAGTAGTGATAGATTCCCTTTAAAACCATCCGGTAGTGATAGATTCCCTTTAAACCCATCTAGTAGTGATAGATTCCCTTTAAAACCATCCGGTAGTGATAGATTCCCTTTAAAACCATCCAGTAGTGATAGATTCCCTTGCAACCATCCAGTAGTGATAGATTCCCTTTAAAACCAACAGGGGAAAATAGAAAATATTCTTGAGCAAATGGAAGTCAACGTCAACGTCTCGCCTCGCAGAGCCTCCACGTAGCCGCACAGCTCCGCCAAGGTCTGCAGTTTTTCGCTTTGTCACTGGGTTTGGATAGACTCGACCGAAGACTCGTCGGTGGGTTTGGCTCAAAAAAACGACACGAGCAATTTTCCTCGGTGGCTTTCTGCTCCCCTGCTAAAAGTGACTAACTTTTAGTGGTTTAATGGAAAACCCATTTGGCAAACCGGCAAAGCCCTAACATCCAAGCAACATGCACAAAAGGGCTGTTTCCCTTCCGTTTCCGATGTTCGGACAAAGTGGATACCCGATGTCGAGTAGTTGAAAGTGAGAACTGCCAGCTCACTGGCCAGACATGGGAAGTGGTCGTTTGTGTTTGTGACAAAGGGAATTCAAATTTCTCAGATGCCCAGTGGCTATGGGAACAAAGGGCATCCTTTTTGGTTGGTTAAGTTTTATCAGGGGAACCCTCCACCAAAAAAAGGTTGACACAAGTTGGCGGAATTTACTGGGCAAGTGGGAAATGGACGCCGGACGTCGAAAAGGAGTTCCCTCAAGAGACACTGCTGCCCTGGCAAGAAGCTGACTGCGTTTCCACAGGATTGGACCCCGTGTTTGACCGGTTTTCACGAAAGACCAGCAAGCAAACACCAGCCGGAGTCACTGAAATACGGGGCAAAGAATGCAATCACAAACACCTCTTCCACATTGGTCCGATGTGTGTGTGTGTGTGTAACACGTTCTCCCTGCTTGGTTTGATCCTGGCGATTGGCTTCTCCACATTTGCTCCATGAACCATGAATCATGCAACAACTTGGGGGCTGACACCGCCACTGTTGGGCTCAACATAATCCAAAGCGGTGCAAATGGTCGGGGGGTTAGCTATATGGTTAGTAGCCCTACTTCCAAGGGGTTACGGGCAGGCGACCGGGGGAGTGACTTACCTCCTTTTGCATCCTTGGCAGCTCCTCATTTGTTTCTCTGGGCAGACCTCGTTGATTTGGACGCGCCATACCGGGGACCCGCGGAAGGGTGTGAGGAAAGCATGAAACATAGGCACAGTTGGACTCCGCCGAAAGCACCTCCCGTTTTGCTGGACGGAGCTTGGTCCATAGATGCTGCCTGATTTATGGAGAGCTGGAAAGAAACACGAGCGAAAGCCATGGGACAGATCCTTCCCCTGCTAGGTCCCCCCTTTAGTTTGCTTAGCTTGGGGAGGACATGGAGGGTCACCACACATTTCCACTTTAACCAAGGCGCCCAATGTGTCGGGGAAGCAGGGCATGTCGTTTGGCGGCTACCACCAATATAGGTGTTCAGCTTGCAAGGCAGCTATACCCTCTTATTATATTTACGATATGGACATTATGGACCTCAATATAGCAAGACACCGCACCCAAAAGTCCCGGTTGGGAGCCAGTTCAGCCAAACCTAGATGAAATCCCATCTATCTGCAAGTCTTACAATTCCAACACCTGAAATCAGCGAGGCTAGAATAAGGGTACCAACTATTTTCGGTAATTAGTCTTTTAGTAGGGGAACCCTCCCCGAATAGACTGCCAGGATACTTTTGTCAGTTGCTCACATACGGGGTATCCAAAGCCTTACAAGTATATGGGTGAGGCTCAAAATTCAAGAGCTAGGGCTACGAAGGTTTTGGTCTTTGGTTACATTTGCCAAGGGTGCCATGTTGGTACATGTTCTTGAGCCACAGCCATATTGCTTGCCTTCATCTTGGCTTCCCTTCGATTCAAGGCCAGACCTAACGAACGAATTGGGGGGCAGCCATCCATAGCGTCCAGGTCCCAAGACTGCAGGAAACCCGTTCCCTTCAGGCGGCAAAGCGAGCCTCACACATGGGCTTGTCTTGTAGTTGGCCAGTACCTCCTGTTTGTGTTTTGAAAAGGAAACCAACGGGAAAACCGTGGCGGGTTTTTTTAGGGGGGGCCTGAAAAAAACACCGAAATAAACCAACCAGGAGAGTGTCAATTTGGGTGGGTTTGCGTGTGCTTTGGAGGAGTAGAGTCCCGCTGTACAAAACACACACACACACAAATGGCCTCTCGCTCTCTCTCTCCTGGGCTGTCCTCAGATCCCCTGCTGAGAGTTGAGAACTTTTAGTGGGCTAAATGGAAACCCCCACCTAAACCAACGAAAAAGCCCAAAAAGCTAAGTTGAACCAAATGGATGGCCGGCTTCGCCGCCGAGTCTCTCTTTCTCTGACCGCTTTGGTTTCGGTTTTTCGGGCCTCGGCCAGCGCATTTGGCTGGTAGCAGCGCTGGAAGCGGCCGGTGCCTGTGAAGCTCATGTCTAGGGAGGAAAAGAGGAACGGAGGAAGGCCGACCACACCACTCACTTTGATTTTTTTTTCTTGGTGGCTCCCAGCCATCCGGTTGCTTAGCTTTTAAGATCCTTTTAGCGTTTAGGGGGGTTTTCCATTTGATCCACGAAAAGTTAAACTCTGGGGTAGACTCAGGAGACATGCTATATCTTACCAGTGACGGATCGATCCCTGATTCAACACCCCACCCCCCCATCATGAAGGAAGTCTCTTTGGAAGAAAGCACGCAGATCAAAAGGGCCTGTTTGAGGTTGCTTCAAAGGCTTCCATTTGCAAGTACGTCCCCTGGAAAAAAAAGACAAAAATGTCCAGTGACAAGATCCCTTAATAACAAACAGGAATTTGAACAACTTCAGAAAACGGTTCAAAGGGAAGAACTCGGTTGCTTTCTGCCCCCTTACTAAAAGTTTAACTTTTAGTGGTTTGATGGAAAACCCTTTACTTGGCAAAAAGTTAAAGTCCTAACATCCAAGCAAAATGCACCAAAGTGAAACCATGTTTTTGGTGTCCGCTTGTCAAATGATCAAATACCAGGCTCCCCCAGGCACTCGGCCGCACAGCAGTGCTCTCACCCATCTGAGGCGCCCACAGGTGATGAGCCTGCGCCAAGGCTGCGTGAAAAGAGACTTGCGTGGGTGTTTCCCCCTTTTGTAGGGACTTTGGGTTTCCTGTAAAGCCAACGAAAACAAATCACCCGCAAAGAAAAAATACACACCCACGTAGTGAGAAATGCCCTCAAAAGGAAACCTTTCGGACTGTCTCAACATAGGGTCTCCAAGTTGGCAGACCCCTAATATTGAAACTGGCTACACAAAGGTCGCTTTCCCTCATTGAGGGGCCAATGTGTCCAAAGCTGACATGTGCGCATAGAGCAAGCGGCAGATGTAATGGAGCAATGGAATATTGATCAACCCCCAAGTGCCTTTGCAGGAAGCGTCACCGATCTCAAATCCGGCCTGATGGCCTCGATCTTCGCGAGCATGGCTTGGGCCATTTTGCCCGTCTCCCTGGGAGCTCGAGCAGCAGGGGACTGGGCACCCCTGTTGCGTGTGTGTGTGTGTGTGTGTGTGTGTGTGTGTGTGTGTGTGTGTGTGTGTGTGTGTGTGTGTGTGTGTGTGTGTGTGTGTGTGTGTGTGTGTGTGTGTGTGTGTGTGTGTGTGTGTGTGTGTGTGTGTTTGTGTGTGCGATAGTAAACAAATACGCAATACAAAAAACACCTTACATTACAGTGCAGTACATTATATTACAGTATACTGCATTGTATGTGATAATACTGAAGTAGTTCAGTTCAAATATACATATATATATATATATGGCTATGATTTTTTTGAGGGTCTGTAACGCGCGACGCGCCACAATTCATGTTGCAGAGGTCTGTAACGGGAAAATATTTCTTGACAAGCAGTATCAGTAGCCCAGTGTAGCGCAGAAAAACGAAGAGCAGCAGCTCCTGCTCAAAAGTCGTTCAGTACAAGCACAGTACGCAAAGCACGTCTCCTAGCTTGAAGTTTGAAACTCCCGACACCGATCGATGGCTGGCCCGGACTGGGGTTGGGTCTGTAACGAGGCATGTAACGGCTACGTAACGAGGTCTGCAACGAGGCAAGGCAAAGCGCAGTAATTACGCAAAGCGCGCCTCCGCAGCACCAGCTTGATTGGAGCTTTTCAACGCAAGCCAAGCTGCGGCAAAAAGGGGGGTCGCTGGCCCGGACTGGGGTTGGGTCTGTAACGAGGTATGTAACGGCTACGTAACGAGGTCTGTAACAAGGCAAAGCAAAGGGCAGTACGCAAAGCGCGCCTCCGCAGTGCTCCGCAGGACCAGCTTGATTGCAGCTATGCAACGCAAGTCAAGCTGTGGCAAAAGGGGGGGCGCTGGGCCGGACTAGGGTTGGGTCTGTAACGAGGCATGTGACGGCTATGTAATGAGGTCTGTGACACAGGCAAAGCATACGCAAAGTGCGCCTCCGCAGCACCAGCTTGATTGCAGCTATTCAACGCAAGCCAAGCTGTGGCAAAAGGGGGCGCCGGCCCGGACTGGGGTTGGGTTTGTAACGAGGCATGTGACGGCTATGGAACGAGGTCTGCAACGAGGCAAAGTAAAGCGAAGCACGCAAAGCGCCTCCGCAGCTCCACCTTGATTGCACCTATTCAACGCAAGCCAAGCTGCGGCAAAAGAAGGGCAGTCACTGGCCCGGTTTGTTCAAAAAGGCCGGTTTGTTCGTCTGAGGTGTGTAACGAGGGTGTGCAACGAGGGGCGTGTAACGAGCCAGCGGGTCTTGTTACAGAGGTCTGTAACGAGGTCTGCAACGAATGTCCTCCGCGGCTCTGTTATAGACCCATCAAAATAACACTGGCGTATACCTGGACCCTCAAAAAGGAACATTTTTTTGCTCATTACGTTATTTTTGCTCATTTTGCCAATTGAGCGGAATTTCCGAAATCTACGCGGAAACTGCAAATTTCATGTTCCGCACCCATTTTGTGGCAAATCCTGCAAATTTGGCCACCAGAAATGCGCGGAAATCGGCGGAAAATGCGCGGAAATCGGCGGAAAATGCGCGGAAATCGGCGGAAAATGCGCGGAAATCGGCGGAAAGCCCAAAACCAACTTGTTTTGAACATGGCTGGTCGAACCGAAATGTGTGTTTTTTTGGTAAATGAGCGTGTTTTCCAACAATGCGCGTTTTTTTTGCTTTTTAAGGAAAATGTTGGGAAATTGTTCTCAAAGAAGATCTAGGTATGTAAGCTAATGCCGGTGCCTCTGCTTGATTTGAGGACATGGACCTTGGGGTTCGATTAACGGGTGATTGAAGGGACACCTGTGTTTGGGTTGGGGGGTCCACTATTTCGAGACAAACCCATATGCACATTGTCAACATGGCAATATGCCTATAGCTGTACAAAGAATATAATTCGTAAATCGATAGCTGGGAAGCGCATCCTAAGAGCATGATGCAGAAGCTGTGTTTTTGTGTTTTCCCGGTGGAAACTTAGAAACTTGTTGACCCAGCGTGTTCTCTGGTCTCCGCCACCAAATCTCCAGAACCATGTGGGTGTGCCGTGTCTTAGGGTTTGGAACCCAAAGTTGCTTCGGTGTTCCTCGAGCGTTCCTTCAAAAACCCGCCTGAAAACCATTGGGCGCCAACCTTTTACAAAAATACAATAAACACCACATCAACGCGGCGCGGGAACTGGGTGGCTTCAACAAAAGGCTCTGGATGCACATGTGGAGATAACTCTCGCAGAAGTGGTTGGATAAACTTCGAGTGATCCCAGAACCCTGCTGTAAAAAACACATCTCCAAAAAAGGGGGGGGCCTTTTGCCTCGCTCGCGTTTTGAGTGACCAGCTGCTGGGTGATCCCACCCTGATCCTAGGAGACATGACATAACCCTAGAGCCAGGAGGAATTACCTGGTCTTCCCCAAAAAACACGACAGTCCCAAAAACGGACCTCCACTGAGCTGATTTTTCTCCAGGCATCCCAGAAAAAAAACCTCCTGGGGTGACCGAGGAACACTCCGCTTGAAACTTCAAAGCCCCTGGGGCCCTGGCGCCCGGGGGTCTTCCTGAGCCGCCGCCAGCACCACCTGACTCGCATGACACTCTGCCCGTGTGCTTGAAGAGAGAACGGCGGTGTTCTGCGGATTCAAGTCGATGCAATAGTGAAACTTCAGCGCTTGAAAGAGGAAGTCTTCGCGAAAAGTATGCCGTCCACCCTCAGGCTGCCCATAAAAATGGTTGATTGCCCTAAAAGTATGGGGGGGGGGTTGCTCTTTTATTGGTAGTTTGAGCGTCCAGGCAGTAATTCGAGAACTCCCGAAAGATCATGCTCCTCAATGCACGCGATTACATCCTGACTGTTTCTTTTCATCCGTCCATGTGGCGGAGCTTTAGGCAAACGGCTTTCGATGACCCTTATGGGCCTTGTGGCGTGCCTACGCTTCTCCTCCTAATAGACCCCATTGGATTCACGCTAACATCTGAATCCCTTTTTTCTTCCACCGAGCACCGACAACAGACTACACCAAAACCGCTACCAATCGGCGTTCAACAAAAAAAAAATAATAACAACGATGCGCTGGAGAAAGCGTCAGTTGCTATGCTAGCGGTCGGTCGTGGCACTGCTCCTGAGCTTTTTCACCAGGGCGATCCAATCGATCCAGTCAGGAGACCTGGGAACATTCCCCGATTTTTCAACCCATGTGTCGTGTGCAGCCTAAAGGGGGCCCTCAAAAATGTGACAACCACATGCTCTGTCCCGCCTCTGATGCTGAGATCGAACCAACACAAGAATCAGGGCAACATCCCCAAATTGATCCGGCGATGCCCGTGATGGAAAATGGGGGGGCCCTTTGGTAATGTTGATCCCATATTAATCAAGGGGGTGTTCCCCATGATTCCCCACCAAACCCAGGCACACACCCACCAACAAACTGAGGTTGATCGCAGTAATATGGGGTCAACATTTCCAAATTGGGTCCTTTGTGTCATAAATGCTTGCCAAGGCCTTTCAAACAACTTGGGTTAGAGACCCACCCCCAGCCTTCACCGACAATGGCACCAGCGAAGATTCGACGTACCTCACGGCGAAGGTCGAACGGGGGGAATCACAAACGGCCGCTGAAGAAAACACACAAACAATACTGAACTAGGTCCTCCAGTAGAGAGGTTAGATCAAGGGTACCTTTTTTCCCGTAGTCTATTTTAGTGGGGGAACCCTCCCCCAAAAAAGAATTGGTAAAAGGGCACTTAGCTGGGGGACTTAGCGAATCATTACGGAGACTGCTTCTGATAGGCAGAAACTACCACTGAGGGGGTAGCTACCACTCGAACACCACTTACTGCTTGGGACTGGCAGCAGAAAGCCAAACGGAACCATCTCGGGGAGCCATTGATTTGTTTCCCGCACTCTGGGTTACCAAGGGCGTGTTGGGCCAACCACGTCTCAAAAATGGCTGACCCGTTTCAGAATGGGCAACTTGTCCCAGAAAAAGAAGGAGAAACCAACACAGCCCAAGGCTGCCCTGAATTTCCGGACTTTCCGGAAGGTGATGCTTGAAGAACCGCCCTGAGGCATTCCCCGTCAGCCGGGTTGGTGGGAGGCTTGGAGACTTGGGCTCCAAAAACGCACGTGAACATGTCCTCTTGGTCTGGTGAAAAAACACCATGCTTTGAAGCCTGCCAACTAAATGGGAAATTCCTGGAATGGCGTGGTTGGTTTCATGTTGATCTGAGGGGAAATTGGAAAACCGGGGTACATGGAAGACAATGCGGCTACAGTGGGCGAGGTCATGTTAGCAAAGAGTGGCCACCTGGATCCGTCGAGCACTCCTTTGTAGGGAAGCCCCGACCAGGTAGTAGAAACAAAGGGGGTGGCTGCCCTATCCGGCTACGCACAAGGGTAGCCTCAATCACGCACGCCCAACTCCCCGCATAATCATGACTCATCCTGAGTTCCTGGACTTTAGTCACTTTATGGGTGTGGACCATGCCAGTGGTCTTCACAAAGGGAGACCAAGAGGACACATAGGTCTTACCGTTTTTGTTGTGAAACAACAAACAAACAATCAAACAAACAAGGACACCATTTTGGCCATCCATGTTTTTGCTAGCGGGGGCTTTACACGGCTTGATGGGGATACCGGTCTGTGATGGTGGCCTTTGGAAGAAAAAAACGAGTTTCCCTGGTACATGGGCTATAAGAATAAAAACAACATAATATAGTAATAGGAATAATGATAAAACCAGCACCCATCGATGTGTCACCAAACTCACCGACAAAAAAGGCCACCAAGGGTACCTCTTGGTTTGCCACACCTCGATTCGCCGATGTCGGAACGGCGCACAAGGGCGCTTGCCCAAAGCGGTGCTGGCGCACGCAAGCGCTCTCCCGGATCCCTGGCGTGTTTGGATATGTTGGGTCGGGGTGAGGGCAACAAATCAAAGCAAGCCAAAGGAAACACTCCATGGGAACCGGCCATTTGGGCCTTTGTTGGTGGGATTCAAAGGAAGACTGGCAATGTTGAAGCTGTTTGAACGCAAAGGACACCATTTGTTTCTTTGGAACACCGACAATTGTCAAATTGGGGCATGCATATTCGGGCTTCCCCTATTTTTTGAGAGACTCCGACATAAGCCGACATAAGTGACCAGCCAATTGGACAAAGCGCCAGGTTGACACATATCAAAGTGCTTTTGCAGCGTCGTGAACCGCCGCCGTCCACTTGATCCACTTCAGGCTGGATAAATGACCAATCAACCCCCTTCCCACTTGACCAGTGATGACCCACGGGAAACATCACACCACGTTCTGCTGGTTGAATTGAACCGCGTCCCTGCAAGCAACATACTCAGGAAAAAACAACTCACAAAATCACAACACTTTTGGAATTGTGTCCCGTCACACCACCCTTTGGAATGTCACTTTGATGGAACCAGCTCCAAGGCAAAGCCCTCGCCCTCAAGTGGGAAACTCGGCTGGTTGAGCCAGCGAACCGTTCCCCCCATGTCAGACAGCTCCTTGTCCACTTCTCCAGTAGCCATGGGGAAAAACAAGGAGCCCCATGCGTTTGTAGTTGATTTGGCCGGGCACCCCTCTCCAAAAGGGGGCGCTGGAGGTGTATTAGTTGTACTCTGTGTCTGCGGCTACCTTTGGCAACCAAGGACTTGTTGGTTGAAAATATGTCGTCCATGTCTTCCGGTATGAGATTTCTCCTCTGCCAACCTTTGAAGTAGGCTTACCTTGTTGATATTTTTGGCGATCACACGCAGACCATTCAAGCACCCTGAGTAAGACACACACACACAGACACAGACACAGACACAGACACAGACACAGACACAGACACAGACACAGACACAGACACAGACACAGACACAGACACACACACACACACACAAATACACAGACACACAAATACACAGACACACAAATACACAGACACAGACACAGACACAGACACAGACACAGACACAGACACAGACACAGACACAGACACAGACACAGACACAGACACAAATACACAGACACAAATACACAGACACAAATACACAGACACAGATACACAAACACAGATACACAGACACAGATACACAGACACAGATACACAGACACAGATACACAGACACAGACACAGACACAGACACAGACACAGACACAGACACAGACACAGACACAGACACAGACACAGACACAGACACAGACACAGACACAGACACAGACACACACACACACACACACACACAGACACACACACACACACACACAAATACACACATTTTACACATTTCTCGATAGTTCCCCTGACCAGCGTCCATTTAAACCCTTATTCGAACGAGTTGTAGGTGTCATAGACACGTAAAACCCCCGCGTTTTTTCGCCAGTGACTTGGGCTCGCCAGACCAAGATCAATTTTTTTGGCCGGAAGCGAAGACCTACAGGTGGCCAGTAGACTTGAAGCCAAGAGACTCGCTGCGCGCCGTTTCTGCCCATCGAAATTGGCTGCTCGACGATAACCACCTCATTTTTTTGGGGGGGGGGACGGGGGGGGGGGGGATTTATTTATTTTTATTTTTGGGAGGGGGCCTGACAAAAACCTCCGGAAGTAACAATCGAGCCTCTTTTTTTTTGGGGGGGGGAGCCCAAAGAAACAAGCGGAAATAATAACATGGATCTCGGTGTTCCTTGTGGTGTCCCATAAAAGCGGGGCTGCGGGAAACGACCATTTATGTGATCCAAAGACTAACCCCCCCATAAAGGCGGGGGAGCTTCCCTTGTATTTATCACAGGAGTGGTTGGGATAAACCCCTTGTGATCCCACAACCCTGCTTACAAAAACACGCATGCAAAAAGGGTGGTGCCTCGATCGCGTTTTGAGTGACCAGCCTCTGGGTGGGCAGTACCAGGGCGCCCGCCCCGGGAGCGTCTCCTATGGACTCAGCTGGTGAAGGGGCGATCGAAGGATGGGGTACGTCGGGCAGTGGTTCGTAAGCCTGGTGGCATATAAGCCACCGAACGGAGACGTATGACTATGGCTTTTGTGGGATACCAGGTTGCTGACCACTTTTCTACTTACCCGATCGCCCCTTTAAGTAGAGAACCGCATATTGTTAGCTGGTTGTTTTGATTGCAAGGGTGCTGAGCCTCAAGAAAGGACGAACCCAAACAATGGGCTGACGCTCCTCAACAAAACCACGGCCAACAAACAAGCAAACAAACAAACGAACGAACAAGCAAGCAAGAAAGCAAGAAAGCAAGCAAGCAAACAAGTAGATACCACACACACACACACATAACGCAAACAAACACACAACACCAAACCAAACCAAACCAAACACAACCAAACCAAACCAAACCAACCGACAAGCATACAAACACACAAGCAAGCAAACAAGCAAATACCCAAGCAAGCAAATACCCAAGCAAGCAAGCAAGCAAGCAAGCAAGCAAGCAAGCAAGCAAGCAAGCAAGCAAGCAAGCAAGCAAGCAAGCAAGCAAGCAAGCAAGCAAGCAAGCAAGCAAGCAAGCAAGCAAGCAAGCAAGCAAGCAAGCAAGCAAGCAAGCAAGCAAGCAAGCAAGCTTGCTAAGAAAAGAAAAGCAACATCAAACCAACACAATGCAAAGCAAGCAAGCAGGCAGGCAAGCAGGCAGGCAAGCAGGCAGGCAAGCAGGCAGGCAAGCAGGCAGGCAAGTGAACGAACGAACGCACACACACACACACACCCACACGCACACGCACGCACAAATATAAATGGGAAAATCAGAGCAACCCCGCAAGTCTGAAGTTTACGAGTCCTTCAGCACAGAGCGAAATACCTGTCTTGCAAACCTTCTTTACTTGCGAACACCCCCCTCCCAGCGCTTTAAAAGGGGACTCCTCCTCCTTGCGGTTTCCATATTGAAACTCCGTCCAGGAAGAACCCAGCGGCATCTGGGAAAAATGGGCCTCCTTTTGTGGTTGGTTGAGAAAAAAACAGGGGAACCCCCAACCCCCAAAACGCGAAGAAAAACGGGCGGATAATCCACTGGGCGAGTTGCTGGCACTGGGCGAGTTACGGGAAGGACGCATCGCATCGCGTCGTTCAGTCCTCGGCCGCCACGCATAGGAAGCCGAGGAGGTGTCGGAGCCTCGGCTCCGGCGACCGGCGTCGTCAGCGAAGTGGGCTGTCCGTTGTCAGATTGCCTCCAAATAGGTGGTGTTTCTTTGGCTTCTCTCTGCAACCTCAAAACTTGGCAGTCAGTTTTCGGATTCCCTGACTTTTTGCAAGAAGTTGAGAACTTTGCGTGGGTGAAACTCGGAAATCCAAGCACTAAAAGCTCAAAAGCTAACAAGCTAAGGAACCGGATGGCTGGGAGCAACTAAGTCAAATACCCGGACACTGAAAATAGGCAGATAAAATAAAATACCTCCGCAACAATCACCGGCCCGGCCAACCAAAGCAGGTACTTCGAGTTGTTGAAAAGTCGCCTTTTCGACCCGGCTCGCCTGACTGAAACACTGAAAATGTTCAGGCTGCGGAGCTGGAAGGAGGGCTTGGAGACAGCTGCAAGCGCAGCCAGGAATCGGCTGCGCTGAAGCTCCGATGAAAACTCTAAGGGTAGCTTTCCCATTCTTTCCAGGGTCTTTCTTTCTAGAAAACCACGAAAAACCATGGGAAACAGCTGTCTTTTGAAAAGAACGATGGTTGAAAAGAATAGGGAATCAACCCCTAGAAAAACTCAAAAAGATGATCATATCTCCAGTGCCACCCCTCACCGGGTGGCCCGGCCAGCCGCTTTCAATAAACGTCCGACGCTGCCTCCCAGCATCTCCCAGCCTTCGAACCCCGGCACAAATATATTTGGATTTCGGCACCGTATGAGTTATGGGGAACACGCTCCACAATGTTTGGTGGGCGGTCCCCCAGGTAGATGGTCGTCCACCTAAGGTTCCCCAATTTTTAACAAGTTCATACCCAGGCCTGTCATATTAATCGCACTGGGTCCATTGAAGTGACATCCGCGAAACTGGCCTTTATGTGGTTCATGAAAAGGAAACCATCCTTCAAAGTACTGGGTCCTCCAGTAGAGAGGATTGAATTAAAGGTATCCTTTTTTCTGTAGTCTATTTTAGTAGGGGAACCCTCCCCAAAAAAAGGGTAAAAGGGCACTACTGCAGCCATGGGCGACCTAGAGCAACTTGTGCGAAGCCCCCCCAAAGCTTTCACTTTCGAACACGCAGACCGGCGCCTGAGGCTGCAGCCACCTGGATGTCTGCAGCATCTAAGGCTTCTCATCATCAAGCGGCGCAGTCGGCTTGGCGCGTCGCGAAGATCACGGGTGCAATTTTGACTGCCCAGGTTGAGCCAGGGCCTTTGCGCAGGTCTTGAAGCGCCTTCAAGCCTTGATTCCTCTCAGTATCTCCAAACTCAACGCAGGAGTTGAAGCAGCGATTTGATACCTTCATAGTCTCTGATTGGAAAGGTGTTCCGAAGTATTTCGTCCTGCCAAGATGAAATCTGTCCTTCCAGTCTCACCATTGAATCAGGGGGGTCTTGAATTTGCACCCGCAGGCTTGTCTTTTTGCCATTCCCTTTGGTACAAGGTTGGCACATGTCCACTGTTTCCATTGTTTGCTTTTTTTTTGCCTTGTTGGGCACAGCTCCAAGATCTCGCCTGCCGTTCTAGGCCCTCCAGCCAGCTCAAGCGGGCGCCACGGAGCGAGCTACGGGAACCCCAGCGGAACGGGTATGAGGCGTCAAAATCGGGGGACCCTGTGGGCGGCTTTCCAATTTTGCTCGGTTGCGAACTCTGCCCCTGCTAAAAGTGACTAACTTTGAGTGGTTTAATACGGAAAACCCATTAGTTGGCAAAAAGTTAAAGTCCTAACATCCCTGGGCAAAATGCACCAAAGCTTCGACATGGGCCAATTGAGGAGGTGTTTACCGGTTTGGTCAAACTTGCGCTCCTGTTCCTTTGGCCCAACAGAGCCCATCCCTAAAACAACCATTGTGCGGGTCTGGAAGTTCACACCCGAAGAAATGCAAGCCATCCATGTGTTGCGGGAGCTCGCGCTCATGTCGCTCGGGCTTGAGTTGCGGGTATTCTGGGTACTAAAGATAGAGATGAAGTCGGGAAATCATGTCCGGAAATCAATAGCTTGCTGGCAATAGAAGTGCTCGCTTCAGTCCTTGCTGGCTAGTTGCACTTGTTTGGAAAGAATGCGCTTATTCCAGGGATGATTCACGTGGTCAACAGAGAAAGCCCCCTCAAGTGCAGGTCAAACTTGAAGAGCCCTAAACCGCAGGATTTAGTCTACTTTTCCATTCACAAGTTGGTTCCATTAGAAAGCCAATATCCTTGGTGGCCCAGCCATCCCCTTAGCTTTTTAGCCGTTTTAGGCATTTATCCCACTAAAAGTTCTCGACTTTTATCGAACAGGCGGACAACCAGAAATGTATCTCTAAATGATCTACGTCTATGCTCGAAGCGATACTCAACATGAAAGCCCTTAGGCTAATATGTGTGTTGTAGGGTCCTTGTGAAATTGTCCGGAATGGATTCGACAATCAGTTTTAGAGTTCCTTCTTTCTGCCCTTCAAACACCCACCACAACATGGCCACTCATTGAATTGAACCTTCCTCAATGGCTCAACGGCAATGTGTAAGTACCAGCGGCGACAAGCCACGTCCATGTGGATGTCCTTCCGCCAGGCTGCCAGGTGTAGACACGACTGAGTTCGATCACATGATCAACCGGAAGTACTATATAAGGGTTCCAAAACCATGCAAAGCTCTCGTGGAATTGCTATAGCCCCCTTACCAATCAAGAATCGTGCTTCAATCCCCGTGGTGGAACTCTGGAAAGTGCGTGAAGTGGGGCGCAACTTGAACTGTCTATCTCCATGTTGTGCACAATATAATTCAACCTTGGTTTGTTCCTCCTTGCCTCAACTCAGTGACCGGTGGCCGCGTTGACATTGTCACTATACTTCACAAACTGGATAGTGGGCCTCCCCATTTTAAACCAAAGTGAGGTCCTCAGAATTTGCCCAGAAAACCCTCGAGCAAACCGAAGGGCACCCTCCTTTAGCTCGAGGGTCGGCCGAAGATGAATCTGGGTGAATTATAATGCTTCACCAGCCTGAAATAAGGTGGTTGGAGGGATATTCCCCACATAAACCACCATTTGGGCTGAATTCGGTCGTGTGAGGTCGTAATTCACCCAGATGAATGGGTCCAAGTGGACTTGCAGCGGGGAGGCTCCGCGCCCAAAAGAAGATGGGCTACGGAAGATGGGAGAGCAAAGAAGCCCGAAAGCTGAGAGCGATTGACGTGACAAGGAACAGCATATGAAAGAGAACCACCATTCAAGATCTTATAATCTTATTATCTTTGTCTTTTTATGTTCTATCTTTTTGTATTTATTATTTACCTTTTCTTGTCATTCATTGGTTATCTCTTTATCGGTTCGAAGGGTACCGATTCTCTGTTTTTCTGCCTATTTGGGTAGGGGAACCCAAAGACCCGAAAAAGGGGTAAAAGGGCACTACTGGGGGACCTAGGTATGATTCAAAATGGGGATTCGGACCCCAACATGGTGACTTTGCGTCCCATCGAAGCCTGACAAAGGCAATCCCAAACCTCTCACACACACACACACACACACCAGAGCAGTCCCGGCAAAAGGGACAAACCACGAGCAGCGAAAAACACATTCGCTAGGTCCTCCAGTAGAGAGGTTAGAATAAGGGTGTAGAGAAGGGGAACCTTCCCCCAAAACAGTTGGTAAAAGTTGGCACTACTGGGGGACCTAATCTGTCGCCACCTTTCCAGCTCATGCGACCTCTTCAGCCGGCCCCCCCCCGCACGCCGTCCGTGCGCGTGCGGGGGCCGGTGGGAATCGGCTCGGCGTATGCGGAGATCTAAACTTAAAATTATGATGCTCACAGTTGTGGCAGAAAACACGCAACGGGAAGCACATGTTGTTGTTTTGTTTAAACAAGTCTGCCTGGATCGCCGGTTGCGATCGCTTTTTTCCATGCACTTTGCCCCGAAAACCAGCAACAGTGACTGAAAAAAGCAGCAGCTTGGCTATCTAGGTGGCTTTGTGATGCTCAGAAAACAAATTGAAACTGTCACATCCTCATCTACATCTCTTCCACAACCATGATTCAACGTCGGAAGTCGGAAGTCGGAATCCGACCCAAAACTGGAGATCCGGGAAAAAGAACGCTGGCAACATGGACGTCATGGCATCTCTTGCGCAATATCAAGCTCTCTCAACTCATTTGCCCGGCCCTACGAAGCTGAAGCGGTGTCCATGACAAACAAATTGGGTACTGAACCTGCAAAGCCAAAAGGACAGATCAAGGTCGAGTTTCACCTTCAAAAAGAATGAAGGAACATCTCGCATTCTTTTTCGCCCGCCTGGACTGATGCTTTTATCTGGAAACCTTGCGGGGCAAAGTCCTTGGACTGACAAAGGGACCTTCTGCGTTCCAAAGCCTCTTGACAAACGCATGGGTTCGCCTTCAACTGAAAAAACCAAAAACACAAACTGAGTATTGTGTACTAGCCTCCGTTGCAACCCAACAAAAAGGGGGATGTATCAATACATAAAGAAATATATATATATATATATATATATGTTCTGTATATGCAATCCAACAGAATGGGGGATGCATGAATATATATATATATACATACACATGTGTATGTATATATAATGTATATGCAACCCAGCAAAAAGGGGGATGCATGAATATATATATATATATGTATATATGTATCTCTCTATATATATATAATGTATATTAATATGCAACCCAACAAAAGGGGGGATGCATGAATATACATATATGTATATATGTATATATATATATGTCCGGTAATTATAGCCAGGAATGCATAAGCATGAACCTCCAGTCCGCACTATGTACATCCGGGGTGCTTGCCCCAACTCCTTCCGTTGAGGGCTTTGGAGTAAGGCTCCCAACGAAAATCACCACCCGAAACATCACAGAAGAGAGGAACCTGGCTCAAAACTTGAACGAACATCATCACAAAAAGAGAGGAAACTGGCTCAAAGCTTGCGATCGGTGCGAGAGTAGGGAATGAGAAATGGAATGAACCCAGGCTTTGGAAAGTCCCCGAATAAAGGAAACCGCCAGTGGGGGTCATTCCAACTCATTCGGGGACCGCTGCTCTCCATTTGGCTGTGGGTCAAAAAAAAGTACCGCAAATGGAACCCTGGCAAGTGGAAACATGGACCAAACCCGTGGTCCCCTGGTTTAACTGTGACCCATACCCATTTGTCCGGGGGCCGCAAGGAACCGAAGGAGTTATTAGCATCATGTAGCTTAGCCTCGTCCTCCCCGAATCAACGTGGAACCCAAAAATGGGGTCCGCCCCTCGGAGATTCCTCGAAAAATGGTTAAGCTGCAGCAAAGTGTGTCCAGTTCTCTCCCTGGTAGGTAACCAGGGATCCTTACCACTAATCTAGGGGTTGATTCGCCATTCTTTTCAACCATCGTTCTTTTCAAAAACCAGATGTTTCCCAAAGGTTTTGGGTGGTTTCGTAGAAAGAAGGATGCCTGGAAAGAATGGGGAAGGTACCCCTAGAACTAGGGTCTCTTGCACGTTTCCCCTTCTATAGGGCAGTACTCAGTCGATTGAGTTGGAAACTCGAGAAACTCCGAGCTCTCACGGGCAGCAAGGCTTGCAACGGGCACGCGAAATGCTCAGCGCTGGAACCTGTCAGCCGACCGGGGGAGACATGGGGCGCGTCCCTTTTCTCGCTTCCTGAGACGATGGGCCAGAAGAAAATCGAAGATTTTGTCGCCTACCACTGAAATGATATTCTCCCAAAAGGTGACACTCGGGAAGTGAGAAATTACTTCTCCCACTAAAATGATTCTCCCAAAAAGTGAACAAGTCCCACAAATCGAGACTGCGTGGATTTTTTTTGCAGGCCCCTTCTTTAGGTTCTGGGGGTTGGTGCCCTGAGACCTAGCAACACGCACCCGAGACCGGAGCTTTCTTTCCATCCAAATTGGTGGGGCCCGGTTTGGCGGCCGATCCAAAACCCCCCCTTTCACTTCAGAGCCAGCCATGGAAAGCTGAAGCCTGGTGGAGAAGGCCTGATGTTCATACCGCTCTCAAAAGGGGAATATACCCCTGAAAAAGTGGGTTGGAAACTCGGCACCATAATTTTGTGGCGCACAGTCATGTGGGTATGGGTCAAAATTAAGCCACCAGGAATCGGACCGCAGGCTTTGGTC